AGTGTTTCATCCCTTAGCTGTAAACACAACTGTCGGTGGAGGGAACCTTGCCAGTGGGCGGCTGCTGCTGGCATTTAGCACCGCCCTGATTACTTTGCCCGCTTGGCTCCGCCCCTCCTGGAAAACGAATACGAACGGGCGTTTGACTTTCCTTTTTGCACGTATTGTTTTAATATTGTTCTCCGAATACAATTCCACACAACATAGCGTCCTATATTTTATTTCGCTTTTTGTGCAGGTGTGGTTTAAAATTATGCGAATATATTTTGTAGGTTTGTATGAGAGATGTCACTGGTAACAGTGCAACGTTCGCCAACACCCAGCGAAAATGGAAATTTCGATCAAACGGTAAACTAGCCCTGACAACAGCATTTCTTTTTTCTGTTATTTTAGCGTGTGACTTATGTACAGCTCAGGGATGAAACACAGACAGATTACCAAGTCATTGTGTACATACAAGCTTGCTTATTTGGGAGATCTAAATGGCACTTCCACTGTTTTCAATAATTATTCAAAATTCGATTGTGTTCCTCTCCATGGTGGGCCAAAAACGCCAAATAAACTGCATATATTAACACAAAGAAGATTTCAAGACCCCATCCTCTCCCAACCTTCTAGCCAGAGATATTCATGATTTGTACGTTTAAAATTTCTACAACACCTGTGTGTATGTCAAGAGTTTAGCATCACAACTGGATCTCGTCAGTGCGACGGTTATAATGTCGATTAATTAAGAGAATTTAAAATAAATCGATAATTTTTGAGTATATTAGCAATTAGATGTTTAAATGATATCCGATAATCTCATCAGTTTTTACTGCGGATATCCAGAATCCCTGCATTTATTATCTCTTCATCCAGTCCGGCGACTTTGGTGGGCCTAAGGACCGAAAATCGGTATTTATTATAGCAACTTTAAGTAAAGTTATTTCTCATGTAACTTCTCCTTTTAGAATTTGGTCACGCCAACATTTGGGAAGTAATAAGGGGAATTTTTTGCAGGATATCGATGCATCGGAATGTGGTTCGCCTACAATGAGGCAACCGATCCCGATTTCCGAATGTTATTTTTACGTAAAAGGAACTGCAGTAATTCTACTGCAGCCCGATCGAACGAACGTAACTCATCAGAATGCTGGTGGTAAGTGAGGCTTGCAAAACGAAAATATTAAATTTTAAGACCAAAAATACTAAATTCCAAGACCGAAAATATTAAATTTTAAAACGGAAATATTAAATTTTAAGACCGAAAATATTAAATTTTAAAGCGGGAATATTAAATTTTTTTGCGTTATCTAATAAATGATACTTAAAATTTCAATGTAAGTCGACAAACTCGTGGACATATTGGGACTCTTCTAATTTCCTCGGAGCACTATAAAAGTATTTTGAAATAGGAAAAAGAAGAGGAGAGAAAATAATATTAAGAAATTAGTAAAAGTGATGAAATTATTTTAATAAAATTGTTTTTAATTGTAAGAAATTTTGAGGAATTTTTATGGTTCTGCTGTTGTGCACTGATTTAGAAGAAAAATTTCCACTTTGCTAAAAATTAGCGACGGCGCTCGCTTCCATACCGCTCCAGACATGCAACTGTGTAGATTGTTTTACCCTTCAGGAAGGGGCGGGGGGAGAGGTGTGCTACCCACACTTGATCTCTTATTTGTTATCCCTTTTTTCTTTAATTCTTTTTTTTTTCAGGTGAAATCGAGCAGCATCTACAGGCGATGCTTAACATATTGCCACCACAAGATACACTAACAATGGCTGTACGTTTGCAGTCTGAAGCACTCACTACAATAAATCATGCCCGTTACTTGGCTATTGTAGCCTCCACTCATCAACCATTGAATAACTTGCAAAATGTGCGTGAAGTAGTCTTACTTGGTATCGATTGCTTACCGAGCAATAAAGTCACGTAAGCTTTTTTGCATCCGTAAAAATCTCTTATAAGTAATTTGCGAGGTAAATTATAACGTGCTATGGCATATCTAACATTCTGTCGGTAATTTTTGGAGCTAAAGCTAAGTCACTATTTGTGTAGCTTCCTGGTGATTTTTTGGCTTTCTGGGGGTTTTTTCTTGTTTCAGTCTGTGAAATGTTGATTCTGTGGCATTTTATCTAAGATTCTTGTATAATCTTTGTACTGAACGAGTCGATATTATTCTTAAGGAAGAACAACTGCGGTTTGTAGAGGACTTTTCAAGCTGGAAATTAAAATTTCCATGAAAAGTGGAGGTACGTGGATTACAGAGGCCGGTAGTAGATAGAAATAAACAAGTATTAACTTTCCGCGGCTAAGAGACGTGTATAATTCTCTTCCCAGCCATTTTTACGGACAATTTGTTTCGTTTTCGAGATGAATGAACGAATCATAGAAGGATTGGTCTTCTTTCTGGCAGTATCGGGTTCTTCAGAGGAATCACATTTCCGTTGGGAAATATCCTGAAACCACAAATCGCCCTGTGTGAGAAAAAAAAATGCTTAAAGTAACAAATATATTTTGGAAATGCGGGTTTTGTTCAACTACCAGAACAGCAATTTCAGCATTGGTGTAGCGATCCCGATTTATGCATCCACACGAGTGCGGCTAGATGGCGATGGTGGAGTGGTTGTTGATTTTGATTCATCACTACACATATTCCGTCCTGTTTCCGTACAAGCCATGTGGACAATGTTTCAACGTCTACAGAAAGTAAAAATTGTTCACTTTCTTGTAAAAAAAAGTATTCTGTGATTTTTTTTTTTTTCTTTTTGATTCCGTGCAAAAAAAGACGAAAGTTGAAATCTCCGGAGGAGAAGGTGAGAAACTTAGAAATACTTTGCCTTTGAAGGTTTGAAGAGATATGGTCGTGCTAACTATGATTTTTCTAAAACTGATCGAATTTTTTAAGTTGGTACCAGGACGGGGTTTGCGATCAGTCCACTTACTCGTCCACCGATTGTTCGAGTAACAATTGGCACATAGTAACTTACGCTTTGCAGTAGTTTACTGTTGTGAGTACTGTTTGAAATCTGTATCGTTGGAATTTTGGAGGCATTTACGAATTAGCTACATGCCCCTGATGTTGTGTACAGAGCACAAGAGCTTTCCGAGTAATATTGGGAAGTGAGCTTGTTTTCAAAAGTTGGTGTGGATCTGGAAGGAATCGAACCACACTCCTTCGCATCCGGATGCGACGTGCTACCCACCACACTATGAGTCCTTGTGCTACAGAGTCAGCTTGGAGCTGAAGGGCTGGCAACACGGGCAGCACATCTACTGTGTATCTTACTTTTCAAGACAGGATGCACCGTAGATGTGGTGACCGTGATGGCTACCTCCTACGCACAACGTACATTCTTTTTTTTTCTTTGTGGTGGTTTCTTCTTTGCCTTCTTTCTGCGGGTTTTTCGTGACAGGTAGCATTTTGAGCAGTCGTGGTTTCTTCAGGAATTAATCGAAGCACAAAGTATAAAAAGCCTGGCACAACAATGCGGAAAAGCATCAAGGCGATTGATTGATTACTATAGCGAACAAGTGTCATCCGATGATGCATTAATAACGATGTGGTGGGTTTTGAAAAACTTCTTCCAAAGAACAGAACTACATTAGTTTAAGTTTAAGGCTATATCAGCCCTTTATTTTCCCACTCTCTTCATATGTTTAGTTTTTTGAGAGGCCGGAGGCACAAAAAATGGCACAGGTGGTTCCAGTTTGCCAGCAAATGCTACGTGCTTGCAAGGAAGGCTTTGCTGCGTGGTCTATAAAGTTTATGAACTTGGCGATTAAACATTGAGACAAACTCGAAGAACTGAGAAGGCTTTGTCCAGGGAGGGGTCAATTGAAGAAGGCTTTGACTCCTTTACCTCATTTCTTAGCTGATTTTATACGTTTTAAGAGTTCGCGCTAAAAATATGTTTTTTTTCCGGATTTTTCGTGTCGTTCGGTCTCTGGTCCCAATTCCTTTCCACATCTATGATAAAAAACTTGAGTTTTTTAACAGAAAACAGTGGATATATCGAAGCTTTTTGTGAGATCTTGGATTTTTTTAAAAGTTTTTTCGCGGTTTCTTGGAATTTTTTCATAATTCCTCTGAATTTTTTTTTCTCCATAATGAGATCTTGAGTTTTTTTTTTCATAGGGAGCGTTCAACATTTTGTTACTTCGATGATTTGAACGGCGATCTGGGAGCGACAAGCGCGGATGCGGAGCGTTTCAGTTGTGAACTTCGTAATGATGCTGATACTGGTATCATTATTACTAGTAATACCTTCGTTATTTATAGTTATTACTATTATTATTACTGCTGTTGTTATTATTATTGTTACCATTATTATATACTCTTACTGGTGCTTTTTTTCTGGATTTTTTTCCTGAAACACTGAAGTTTTAATTCACTGGTTTTGTGAAATTTTGATTCTTTTTGTTTTTATTCAATTTATGAACATTTTTTTTTTGCGTTTTGCAGCAGAAGCACAGATATATGATAAGTTAAAAGAAGTGATGCAAACGGTCGACTTGGACGAAGTAACCAGCAGAGATATTCGCCTGAAGGTCAGCCAGTTTTCTTATATTGCATCACACAATTACCCGTGGCACACGGGTTTTCCCCCCTTTTGTAACGGGAATCATTTGGAGTAGAATTTTTTTGCAGGTCGAAGAAAGTTTGGGAATGAATTTGGACGAGTACAAAGATTT